TTACAGGTTTTCAAAATATCTTCTTTTGTTTTTATCAGAAGAAATAAACTCATGAAGAAGAAGATATTTTGAAGAATGTTGGAAACCTGTAACCATTGTCTTCCATGGGGTTTTTTTCCTACAATGAAAGTCAATGGTTACAGGTTTTCAAAATATCTTTTTGTTTTCATCAGAAGATAGAAACTCACGAAGGAGAAGATATTTTGAAGAATGCTAGAAACCGGTAACCATTGACTTCCATTGTAGAAAAAACTAATAGTGGTTTCAGTATGGTTACAGGCTTCTAACATTTTTCAAAATATCTTCTTTTGTGCTCAACAGAAGAAACTCATGAAGAAGAAGATATTTTGAAGAATGTTGGAAACCTGTAACCATTGTCTTCCATGGGATTTTTTTTTTCTACAATGAAAGTCAATGGTTACAGGTTTTCAAAACATCTTCTTTTGTGTTCAACAGAAAAAAAGAAACTCATAAAGATATAAATAGTGAGAAAATAGTCAGTAAAACATCATTATTTTAAGTGAACTACCTCTTTAAATCTGAAAGCAGCTCCTAATTACATACCGATCAAGAGACAAGCTTTCAAAATTAATGCTGAGTCTTAAATGTATTGACTTGGAAATCAATGGTTATAGATTTCTAACATTTTTCAAACTATCTTCTTTTGTGTTCAACAGGGAAAAAAAAGTGAGTGAAAGACAGAGTGAGTAAACAGTGAGTAGATGTTCATTTTTGGGTGAACTGCCCCTTTAAGATGTTTTCTGATCAGACTCTGATCAGGCAAACCACAGAAGCCTGCTCGATTGTCTCAAACACACAGCAGTGAAGTGAAAACAGCGTGTCTGAGCACGTACAGTCCTGTCCTGCAGAAATCTGACCCCGTGTCAGTGTTAAAGTCAGGCTACATCTGAGGAATGCTCGTGTTTTTATTCCAGACTCATCTTCCCGGAGAGCGTCTTCTTCCCTATTGATGAACAACACCTTCCCCTCTTTGTGTGCGGCTGACAATAGCGACCCGGACCCCGTGTTGCGGAAAGGCCACGCATACCAGACCGCGGACACAATAAATCCCCAAATGCCTCATTATTTCTGATTGCGGATCACAAGGTCATTAAACAGGCCTTCCTATAAACAGGCCCGTCCCGTCCGCTCGTCCTCGTACCCCGACCTCATCCACATGTCCACTAATGACGTCACACTGCAGAAAACACCAGCTCTGCCTCCTAAACATGTCTACTGTTCTGTGAAGGACAGTTCAAGTCTAAATTATTAGATATATCATCAAATATTCCCCAGATGATGTTGAACAGAGTCAGGAATTTCTCACAGTGTTTCCTCTAATATTTGTTCTTCTGGAGAAAGTCTGATTTCTTTTATTTCGGCTAGAATAAAAGCAGTTTTTTAATAGTTTTAAAGCCATTGTAAGGTCATTATTATTCGCCCCTTCAGCAATATTAGTTTCTGATTGTCTCCAGAACAAACCACTGTTATACTATAGCTACCCGCATGGAAGGAACCTATATGAGCATATATGAAACCTATATACAGTATGCACATGTATGATAATATATACACTGCATATATGCGTATATATGCTATAAATAGGCAAACTTACAGTATATATATGTGCACATACAGGCCATATAGGTCTCCTGTATTATACTCCTTGTATACTGCCAAGATTGTGTGCACTGAAACGTGCGTGTGGGACTGCGGCTCTGCAGCTGGACATAACTCAGTTTAGTTGATCAGTTCCCCTATAGCGCATGTGTTAGGACTGAGGGGTAAACCGGAGGAAACCTACACCAACATGGGGACAACATGCAAACTCCACACAGAAACAGACTCGAACCAGCAACTTTCTTGCTGTAAGGCTACAGTGCTAACCACTGAGCCACCGTGCCACCAAGTACTCTCTCTCTCAAGCATTTCCAAACACTTATGAGTTTCTTCTGTTGAACACAAAAGAAGATATTTTGAAGAATGCTGTTGACTGTTGACTGCCAGAGTAAGAAAAACAAATGGAAGTCAATGGTTACCGGTTTCCAACATTCTTCAAAACATCTTCGTTTGTTAACTAACAGTCGTTCAAACATCCTTATCGAAGTCTCTCCCCCTAAAGGTTGGTCTCACACATCCGGCATGTTTGTAGTTTTTTAGCACTTTTTAACCACATTTGTAGTTCTAATCCACCTCACATGCAACATGCAATGCATTATGGGTAATATTAGCCATTAGAGGATCTGCACTGTGAAAACTGGATAAATGTGGATCCTCATTTCAGCTTATTATAATTTAGGACACATTACGGCTATTTTTGAAGGCTATATAGGATGGATAGTGTGTGAATCGAGACGAAGCATTGGAGTTTTTGACTTGCTACCAGTCCGTATATCTTCTGAAAAGGAAAGTTCAATCAAAGATAGAAATCCTGCTGAACACAAAGGAAGATATTTTGAAGAATGTTAGAAACCGGTAACCATTCATTCATTTTCTTTTCGGCTTACTCCCTTTACTTATCAGCGTTCACCACAGTGGAATGAACCGCCAACTTGTCCAGAATATATGTTTTACACAGTGGATGCCCTCCAGCCCAGTACTGGGAAACACCCATACACACTCTTTCACACACACACACTTATACACTATGGACAGTTTGGTTGCTCAATCCCCCTATAGCGAATGTGTTTGGACTGTGGGGGAAACCGGAGCAAACCCACGCCAACACAGGGAGAACATGCAAACTCCACACTGAAACACCAACTGATCCAGCCCAGACTCAAACCAGCAACCTTCTTGCTGTAAGGCTACAGTGCTAACCACTGAGCCACCGTGCCACCCAGAACTCTCTCTCTCTCAAGCATTTCCAAACACTTATGAGTTTCTTCTGTTAGACACAAAAGAAGATATTTTGAAGAATGCTGTTGACTGTTGACTGCGATAGTAAGAAAAACAAATGGGAGTCAATGGTTACCGGTTTCCAACATTCTTCAAAACATCTTCGTTTGTTAATTAACAGTAATTAAGTCTCTCCCCCTAATGGTTGGTCTCACACATCCGGCATGTTTGTAGTTTTTTAGCACTTTTTAACCACATTTGTAGTTCTAATCCACCTCACATGCAACACGCAATGCATTATGGGTAATATTAGCCATTACAGGATCTGCACTGTGAATTTCTGGATAAATGTGGATCCTCATTTCAGCTTATTATAATTTAGGACACATTACGGCTATTTTTGAAGGCTATTTAGGATGGATAGTGTGTGAATCGAGACGAAGCATTGGAGATTTTGACTTGCTACCAGTCCGTATATCTTCTGAAAAGGAAAGTTCAATCAAAGATAGAAATCCTGCTGAACACAAAGGAAGATATTTTGAAGAATGTTAGAAACTGGTAACCATTCATTCATTTTCTTTTCGGCTTACTCCCTTTACTTATCAGCGTTCACCACAGTGGAATGAACCGCCAACTTATCCAGAATATATGTTTTACACAGTGGATGCCCTTCCAGCCCAGTACTGGGAAACACCCATACACACTCTTTCGCACACACACACTTATACACTATGGACAGTTTGGTTGATCAATCCCCCTATAGCGCATGTGTTTGGACTGTGGGGAAAACCGGAGCAAATCCACGCCAACACAGGGAGAACATGCGAACTCCACACTAAAACACCAACTGATCCAGCCCAGACTCTAACCAGCAACCTTCTTGCTGTAAGGCTACAGTGCTAACCACTGAGCCACCGTGCCACCCAGAACTCTCTCTCTCAAGCATTTCCAAACATTTATGAGTTTCTTCTGTTGAACACAAAAGAAGATATTTTGAAGAATGCTGTTGACTGTTGACTGCGATAGTAAGAAAAACAAATGGGAGTCAATGGTTACCGGTTTCCAACATTGGAGTTTTTAACTTGCTACTAGTCTGTATATCTTCTGAATAGGAAAGTTCAATCAAAGATAGAAATCCTGCTGAACACAAAGGAAGATATTTTGAAGAATGTTAGAAACCGGTAACCATTCATTTTCTTTTCGGCTTACTCCCTTTATTAATCAGCGTTCGCCACAGTGGAATGAACCGCCAACTTATCCAGAATATATGTTTTACACAGCGGATGCCCTTCCAGCCCAGTACCGGGAAACACCCATACACACTCATTCACACACACACACAAATACACTACGGACAGTTATCAATCCCCCTATAGCGCATGTGTTTGGACTGTGGGGGAAACCGGAGGAAACCCACGCCAACACGGGGAGAACATGCAAACTCCACACTGAAACACCAACTGATCCAGCCGAGACTCAAACCAGCGACCTTCATGCTGTGAGGTCACAGTGCTAACCACTGAGGCCTTATTTTTGCTGATGGGAGTTGTTTTGAACGCAGGACAATGGCGTGTCGTCCCATTGTCGTGTTTGATAATGAATGCTGATGAATGGCGTTTGGAAAGGGAGGATTGATTTCCGCTGTGTTTCTAAATTAGCACTCGACGTTAGCAAATCAGGGTTGGAGGTTATAGGCCATCAGTTTATTGAATATCTGCAACATTAATTTCTAGCAGCTGACGCACAGAGATGACCTTATAAACCGGTGTTTATAAAATATGCCTTTCCGCAGATTTCAGCCTCGGCTTTTGTGCTCATCATCAGTATTTTAGACGGTGAGGGAACTTCTGGAGGACGTTTAATTAGGATCTAGTGTGTGCATTATTCTCTAATAATTCCCAAATCTGCAGTGCATTATTCCCCTGGTCTCGACAGCTTCATTTGCAGATCAGATGTCGTGTATGTGTCGGCTTTCTGTCTTTAAACTGCAAACTGTGTGATATAAATTGTCGGAGCTTGAAACAGATGGAAATATGAGAGGACTGTGCTGCGTTTCTACGAGGATCTCAGGGTAGCCGCCATTACGACTCATTGTTTTGTTTCCCGCCAGCCTCCGTACAGGTCACATGACTGAAAGGTATGAATAATTATCTTGTACTCACTTGTGGTTGGTGTAAATGGCTTGACCTGCACGTTCCTCTTCACTGGGGTTTCGCTCGTACAACTCTAAAATCAGACAAAACAACACGCACGACTATTACAAATGTGCTTTTGTGGAGAGTCTGACTGCTGCATGGTCTGCGAAACACACGCAGGCCTGACACATTAACCAATATGTGGACGTACCGCACAACACGTGGCTCAAATATTTTTTGGTGATGCAATAAACACTCACCGGCCACTTTATTAGGTACACCTTACTAGTAGCAGGTTGGACTCCCTTTTGCCTTCAGAACTGCTTTAATCCTTCATGGCAGAGACTCAACAAGCTACTGGAAATATTCCTCAGAGATTTTGCTCCATATTGTCATGATAGCATCACACAGTTGCTGCAGATTTGTCGGCTGCACATCCATGATGCCAATCTCCCGTTCCACCACATCCCAAAGCTGCTCTATTGGATTAGAGATGCAGCAAGGCATTTGCGCCCACAGAACTGCCGCTCACTGGATATTTCCTCTTTGTCGGAGCATTCTCTGTAAACCCTAGAGATGGTTGTGCGTGAAAATCCCAGCAGATCAGCAGTTTCTGAAATACTCAGAGCAGCCCGTCTGGCAGCAACAGCCATGCCACGATCAAAGTCCTTTAAATCCACTTTCTTCCCCATTCTGATGCTTTTTCACATCCTGACTCCAACACCTCGTTATTACATAGTTAAAATGGCTATAATTAAATTAAATATCATTAAGAATAAATCATTGTGTGTTGTTTGGAAGAGTGCACTTGCATTGTGATGATATTATATTGTCATTCTGGCATTATATAAATATAATGAGAGGCATAAAATGTCCTAAAATTTACATTAATATTGTTTATTGCAATATATTTAGTGCAATATATCGTACAACGAAAATAGATATCTTGGCAGGCCTATGCCACAGCCGTATCAACCTGCAGCCTAACACTGGTTACCCACTGAAGCTAAGCAGGGCTGAGACTGCTCAGTGTCTGGATGGGAGACCACACGGGAACACTAGGTTGCTGTTGGCAGTGGTGTTAGTGAGGCCAGCAGGGGGCGCTCAACCTGTGGTCTGTGTGCGTCCTAATGCCCCAGTATAGTGAAGGAGACTCTATACTGTCAGTGAGCGCCGTCTTTCAGATGAGATGTTAAAGTGAGCTCCTGACTGTCTGTGATCATTAAAAATCCCATGGCACTTCTGGTAAAGAGTAGGGATGTAACCCCGGTGTCCTGGCTAAATCCTTCCCAAATTCTCCACCATGGCACTCCAATCATCTCCATCCACTGAATTGGCTCTATCACAGTCTCTCCACTCTCCCATAGCTGGTGTGTGGTGAAGCACTGGCGCCGTTGTCCAGTAGCTGCCGGAGCATCATCCAAATGGAGCTACACACTGCTGGTGGTAGGGAGAGACCCCCCTCTTCCTCCCCTCACTTTGGGCGATTTCGCCTCAATAGATGCACCATATAAATACACATTACAGTACATATGCATGCACAAACCTCCTCATTGTTTATCCTTTTGACGCCGCAGAGTTTTACAGCACATTCGAGGTCCCAGGAGCCGGCCGGCAGGTCCTGCAGGATCTGGAAGGAGAAGCTGAGCCTCTTGGGACAGTCTTTAATAAAACACGGCTCTTCTCTGAACGGCATTTCTCTGGTTACTGGCGTGGATCGAACCCAGCAGCTGCTGACTCTGATGCTGGCCTCTCGAAACGTCTGGCTGGAGATCTGCAGGAGAAAAACCACACACTGAGACTTTTGCATTGTTGCATTTCTGTCATAGCAATTGTAAAAAACTTTAATGCACAGTAATAATAACATGTAAAACACCTTGCTAAACTTTTGAAACCATGGTTTTCTTAAGATGAATTCACAACTGAACATAATTAATGTTTAGTAATTAATTAACTATTAATAAATAATTAACTACTAATAACTAAATTAATAAATAACTAAAATAAATAACTAAACTACTAATAATTAATGAACTATTTCGTTTTTAAAACTAATCTGCTTTGACTGCTGTACTGGTCCACGATTGGAGGTGGGGGGCACATTTGTGCAGATGTAATATTTACATCCAAACTAACATTTTTAGAGCCTCACCGTACAAAATATGTTGGAAAACAATGTTATATATAATCTATAGTGTCATTTTTATTTCTAGGTATTTATTTGGGGGGCCCTCAGATTTCCTGGGGCCCTAAGCAGCCACCTACCTGAGACACTGCTCGCTGCAGAGCCACTTGAGCTCCAACTCCTCCTCCTGTAAGCTGTTTTAATGCGAACACTAGAGGTCTGCATTTCTGCGGCTGTCCTGCGGGTGCCGCGGGACCCGACCAGATTTCTGCGGCGCGGGAATACATTTCCGAATAAATCGTGGGAGCGGTTGGTAACGGGTTTAATTTCGGATTGTCTCCCGACTCCCGAGCGAGCCCGCGTATGTATGTGTGTAAATGAAATAGCGCAATGCTGTGTTTAGCTTGTTTGTTGCTGTGTGTGTGTGTGTGTGTATGTGTGCGCACGCGCGAATGAGAGGTGTGTGCGGGCGAATGAGAGGTGTGTGTGTGTGCGGGCGAATGAGAGAGAGAGAGCTTTGCCTGTGTGTGTGTGCTTGGTGCTTATGTGTGTGTGTGTGTGTGTGTGTGTGTGTGTGTGTGTGTGTGTGTGTGTGTGTATGTTAGTGCGCGCGCGTGCGAATGAGAAAGAGAGAGAGCTTTGCCTGTGTGTGTGCTTGGTGCTTATGTGTGTGTGTGTGTGTGTGTGTGTGTGTGTGTGTGTGTGTGTGTGTGTGTGTGTGTGTGTTAGTGCGCGCATGTGCGAATGAGAAAGAGAGAGAGCTTTGCCTGTGTGTGTGCTTGGTGCTTATGTGAGTGTGTGTGTGTGTGTGTGTGTGTGTGTGTGTGTGTGTGTGTGTGTGTGTGTGTGTGTGTGTGTGTGCGTGTGTGTGTGTGTTAGTGCGCGCGTGTGCGAATGAGAAAGAGAGAGAGCTTTGCCTGTGTGTGTGCTTCGTGCTTATGTGTGTGTGTTAGTGCGCGTGCGCAAATGAGAGAGAGAGAGCTGTGTCTGTGTGTGTGTGCTTGGTGCTGTGTGTGTGTGTTTATACAGACAGCTTGTTATAGGCTGTACCCTGTATAGCTGGGTGGTTTTCGGTTTTGTTTAGCAGTATTGGGCGCGGCGGGTAGAAAATGGGCGGGGATTATATTAAATGCTTAATATAAGCGGGAGCGGTCGGGTTCGGGCTAAAACCTGGCGGGTGCGGGCGGGATTCAAAATTTAGTCCCGCGCAGATCTCTAGCCTACACCCACCCCACCTCTAAGCCCAACCCCCAGTGACATCACTTGTAGAAGGAAGGAGGAGCTAGAGTTCAAGCTCCCCCTTGCTGGAGCTCAGCTCTGCCCAAGTGGCTCTGCAGTGAGCACCCCTTGACTTACCTTGCTTATTGGTTAAATCCGCCCCTGGTGTTGGGTAACATTAAGAAAAGCAGTGTATTTTTGCAGTGCAGTCTTTCCTGAAGCTGGTCTGTCACTGACAGCTGAAATAAATCTCCACTATACATAAGTGTTCCATGTGTGTGTGTGTGTGTGTGTGTGTGTGTGTGTGTGTGTGTGTGTGTGTGTGTGTGTGTGTGTGTTTTACCTCAGCATACACCCTCTTGTCGCTCAGGACTCTGCTGTTGTTATCTATAGGTGTTGTGAAATCTGGAGACGAGAAGAGTTGCATCTGAACAGGAAACGGAGGAGACGTGGGCGATGGAGTGGTTTTCTCCACTTCTGTTGGAGCTACAGGAGAAAAGCACAGAGTGTTAGATTTAAAGGGGAACTACTATTAACAAACACCACTGTGTGTGAATATCTCCAGCCTCTCTAATGGTGCACATTAATTCTGTGTTTGTCTAATCAGACTTGATGAATGACACACTTTGATTGACATTCTCTCTCTGTAGGTGTCATCAGCGGGGGAAAGCCCCGCCCACTAGTGCCCATCTCTCTCTCATTAGCATCTCCAGCAGCCCTGAGTGAGAAGCAGCCGTCTGTCCATTAGCCATTAGAGTGTTTGAGCTGCTGAAGGAGCGACATAGACTGACACAAGCATCAACACACACTCACACTGAAGCACACATGCACAGCAGACCTGCACTCACAACACACACTGCTGTTTCACATCTTCCACTATGCTGACGCACAGGTATTAGTAGCTCCGCCCTCTTCTGAAAAGAGCACAATCTCATTTGCATTTAAAGCGACAGTCACCAAAACACCACTATTAAGATCAAAGCCTGAAAGAGTCAGTCTCGGAGAGCTGGAGAACATTATCTGTGTGCTGTTCTCAGCTCAAACTTCACGTCTTGTAAAAAGGGGCAGAATAGGTCATCTTTAATAAAGCTGAACTCCAACAGCTGTCCTTAAGTGAAGAGCCGTGTTTGTACAGCTTGAGGCTAAACGCAGTGCGGGATTTCTCTCTGGAGTTTACAGGATTAAATCTACACACGAGTGTTTTCATGCACGGGAGAAAAAGCCTTAAAACAGGATTATTAATTTAACATCTCCTAGACTGAAATCAGATTTAACAGACACTTCTTGATTTCATTACTGTACTTTTGGGTTTCTCTGGAGAAAAAGATTCACACTCATGTGTACAGCACCAAAACGATTAAATCACTGTTTCTGTTTTTGTCTCCTCTGGGACTATCGATAATAAAAGAAGATATATATAAACACTCACTGGCCACTTTATTAGGTACACCTTGCTAGTGCTGGGTTGGACTCCCTTTTGCCTTCAGAACTGCCTTAATCCTCCATGCAGAGATTCAACAAGCTACTGGAAATATTCCTCAGAGATTTTGCTCCATGTTGACATGATAGCATCACACAGTTGCTGCAGATTTGTCGGCTGCACATCCATGATGCCAATCTCACCACATCCCAAAGCTGCTCTATTGGATTGAGCTCTGGTGACTGTGGAGGCCATTTGAGTACAGTGAACTCATCGTCATGTTCAGCAGTCTGAGATGATTGAGCTTTATGACATGCTGCGTTATCCTGCTGGAAGTAGCCATCAGAAGATGGAGACACTGTGCTCATAAAGGGATGGACATGGTCAGCAGCAATACTCAGGTAGGCTGTGGCGTTGATGCTCAATTGCTACTAATGGACCTAAAGAAAATCTCCCCCACACCATTACACCACCACCACCAGCCTGAACCGCTGACACAAGGCAGGATGATCCATGCTTTCATGTTGTTGAGGCCAAATTGTGAGCCGAGCATCCGAATGTGTCAGCAGAAATGGAGACTCATCAGAGCAGCAACGTTTCTCCAATCTTCTGTTGTCCAGTTTTGGTGAGTCTGTGTGAATTGTAGCCTCAGTTTCCTGTTCTTAGCTGACAGGAGCGGCACCCGGTGTGCTCTTCTGCTGCTGTAGCCCATCCGCCTCAAGGTTGGACGTGTTGTGTGTTCAGAGATGCTCTTCTGCAGAGCTCGGTTGTAGTGAGTGCTTATTTGAGTTACTGTTGCCTTTCTATCAGCTGGAACCAGTCTGGCCATTCTCCTCTTACCTCTGGCATCAACAAGGCATTTGCACCCACAGAACTGCCGCTCACTGGATATTTCCTCTTTGTCGGAGCATTCTCTGTAAACCCTAGAGATGGTTGTGCGTGAAAATCCCAGTAGATCAGCAGTTTCTGAAATACTCAGAGCAGCCCGTCTGGCAGCAACAACCATGCCACGTTCAAAGTCTCTTAAATCCCCTTTCTTCCCTATTCTGATGCTCGCTTTGAACTGCAGCAGATCGTCTTGACCATGTCTGCATGCCTAAATGCTGCCATGTGATTTGCTGATTAGACATTTGCATTAACGAGCAGTTGGACAGGTGTACCTAATAAAATGGCCATTAATTATATATATATTAACCCTAACCCTGTTTCTGAAAGAACTCCCTTTAGCTCAACAAGCGATATGTTACAACATGCTAGCAACATCCTAAAAAGCATCCTAAAAGCATGCTACTTTTGTAAAACATGCTAGACACATAATAGTGATATGCTAAAGCAGTTAGCAATGTGTTAGCAACATCCTCAACCATGCTACCAAAATATTATACATGTATGCATATGATAATAGAAAACAAATCTGTAAATAACAGGTCAGAAAAACAACCTATCGTTGGCCAAATAACCTATTTGTTTGTTCTTTAAATGAAGAAGCGCCCTCTAGTGGAGCTTAAAACTGGTCATGAAGTAGATTTTAAGCTCTACTAGAAAATGCTTAACTTGAAAATATAATTTTATCTCAAGATAATAATCTCAAAATCTTAATAATCTATTCATTGCACAAAAACAACCTCTTCCCTGCACAACCCATTTGGTAAATTTTAAAGTGAAGTGGTGATGTTTACCTGAGGAGATGCTGTAGTCTGTGATCCACAACTCTACGTTTGTCACATTGAGACGGATCTCCGAGTAGCTGCTGATGAAGCCGCTGCTGAAGTACGATAACGCTTTCTGCCTGATGTCTGTGGGGTTATCAGAGATCGCCATCCTCGGACGCAATGGAAAACTTTGTAAGTGGATCTGATTGTTGCTCTGAAAGAAAGAAGTTGGATTTCTGAGCGTCGTTCATGTTGTGTGTGAGGCATCAGAGGAAAGTGGCGTGATCTGCTGTTCATTCTCACCAGAATCCCTATTCTGAGGCTGTTTTTGATGATCCAGTGGGTGCCTGCTGGACCTCGCAGGACAACATTACAGTCGGAGAGCAGATGCACAGAAACATGCCTGAAAACACCACAGAACATCATCCATCAGAATCAGTGTCTATCTATCTATCTATCTATCTATCTATCTATCTATCTATCTATCTATCTATCTATCTATCTATCTATCTATCTATCTATCTATCTATCTATCTATCTATCCATCTA